CACTGGGCTGGGGCCCTTCGAGCCACCTCCCGGTCATGCAGCCCACTCAGGGCCAGCGGTGATCAGCGCTGGGGAGGCGGGGGCTGGCTCGGTCTGTGCCGTCCGTAATTCCTCTGGCTGTTGTCAGTGGGTGGTAGCACAGTGCTGCGTATCCAGGGGACACAGGTCTGCGCCATAATGAGGACAGCCTCCCCACCCCGAGTGGCCAGGAAGGCGACATAGGGCAGGCCCTGACTCGGTGCGCCTGGGGGCGAGGAAGGAGAACAGGAGCCAGCCTGGCCAGCAGCCCAGGGCACCCGCACGCTGGACTGACGGCTCAGGTGTCCCCACTGGAGGATGACAGCACAGGCAACGTCCAGGGTGCCAGGCCAAGCTGAGTGGGGACAAGTGAGCAGCAAGGCCAGCCCTACCAGTGGCCCACCGAGTCCTGCGGTGACACAGCAGGGCTCTCCGGAGCAGGACCCAGACCTGCAAACGGGAGTGCCAGCCTGCCTCTCAGAGCCCGGAGGAGGGGACGAGGCCCTCTCACTCAGCAGCTAGCCCTCCCACAAAAGGCTGCCTGTCATAGGCAGCCCAACCCGCACATCCATGCCGTGGGAGGCGGGGACAGGGCTGGCCCTAAGGGAGCTTCTCCGCCAACCAGGGGGCTTCACCACAAACTGGGGGGCATCACCGCAAAAGAGGGGGCGTCACTGCCAACCAGGGGGTGTCACCGCCAACAGGGGGATGTCACCACAAACCAGGCAGCCACAAGACGGCGGCACTGCCAGTGCCTCTCCCTGCTGACAGCACCCCAAAAACCCAGGGCCAGCACCAGCCACCGCTGTGACCTAGAGCCTCGGGTGCCCACAGGTTAGTCCCACGAGCCAAGCCAACCTCCCAAACACAGGACGTGTGTTCAGGGCAGGACCCATAGGGACACTGCAGGCAAGACACTTGCTCAGAACTCTGCAGAACCACAGGCCTGAGCCCGGCGTCTCCAGCTGCTCTGTTACATTCATCGGCCGTTCACCAGGAACCCCATGAGCCAGCAAGGGTCCTGTGCTAGGGAGTCGACAGTCTCCGCGACGACTTGAGCACAAGAAGCTGCCACAGCCGGTCAGCTCGAGGTCAGCGCACCACAGAAACTGCCCTTTGCTGCCCTAGCTACTCCAGAAAGGGGGTGGGAGGTGCACTCCTCAAATGCGGAGGTGGACAGACGCCATGTAGCACACCCAGGAGAAGTGAAGCTCAGACAGTCCAGTTGGTGACAGCAGGCCCTGCCACCTTATCAGAAGATAGGACCCCAATGGGCACCCCTGAAAGTACCTTTAAAGCAAACCAAACAAGCACCACCCGCACGCACGCACGCGTACTTGCGTTCACACTCACAGGCATGCACACTCGCGTGGACACGTGTTCATCCACACAAGCACGCACACGCACGCACGCGCGTTCACAGAGGTGCGCATGGCACTGTGGCTCTCGCCTCCTCCCCAAGCAGACACCAGCCCTGCTCCTCGCAGCAGGCCCTTCCTTTGCCGACGAAGTGCCTCTCAGTCTACTGCGTTTTCTCCAACCGGGGGCCCGCTGAGCTCCGTCCACACCAGATGCCAGGGTCGGAGGGCAGCAAACGCTTTGGTGGGACTGCCCAGCCGTGGGTGAGGGGAAAGCGGGTCTGAGGCCGGCGGCACAGGGCTGCCCAGAGCTCCCCCAAACACCCACCTGGAGGCATGGGTGGGACACAGCGGAGGGTAGCGGGCAGGGCCTGGGTGGCCAGGCCACCGTGGGAAAAGCCAGCAAGTCGGCTCCCTCCCACCAGCGCCAATGCCCCCACCCGGCACCAGCCCTTACCAATGGCACCAGAGGTGTCAAGCCTGACCGACTCCCGGCTCCAAGAACCCCATGTCACCCACCACCCACAGGGCAGCTATGGCATGGCCGGGCCAGCTTCCCCACAACAGTTCCGGGGTAAGGACGAGCAGATGGCCTCTAGCGAACAGCCTGGCCCTGTCGACCAAGGCCCCAGAGCCACACCACCGTAAACCACCCGCCCGAAGCCCTCCTAGGGAGTCTTCCTCCTCAGGCTGTCTCCCACCTGCCCACAGCCTCAGGACAAGCAATGCCACTGATCCTGGGAAGCTGCCGGAGCTGCCACCCTGCAGGCTCATAAGGTCGGCCGAGAGCCACAGCTTCTCTCGGCATTTAAGACCATGAGAAACACCAACCTGACAGTTGCTCCCCAAACCCCCCTAGAGAAGTGAAGTCAGCGACTGTAGAAGCCTCTTTCCAGCATGTAGGGTCACTCAAAGGTCTCTCCCAGTAGGGCTGTGGTTTGGGCTTAATTCTGAGCAATAGATGCCTGCCCCCCTCTGTCCCTCACTCCAGGCAACCACCCAGGGCTGCCCTCCAGACTAGGTCTTGGACACCAGGCTCTGCTCCCTGCACCTCCAGCCCCCAAAGGGCCCAGGCCCATGCCTCCCCCCAAAAGGCTTCAGTGTGTGTCCCCCTGCCCCAGGTCAGAAGGTGAGCTCTCAGCGGCCTCCTGGAAGCCATTCCGCTTCTCTCCCTGCACCTCTTGTGAAGTTCCCCCAGGACGTGGCTCCCATAGGGACCGGGCCACAAGGAAAGAGGTAAAAGTCCGTGTGGCTGATTCTTCCAGACAGGAGTATGTTCTACTCTCACATTTTTAATCAGCAAGGCCAAGGACCAGTGTCCCTGCTGCTCCCTTTCTTGCCAAGGCAAACAGCACTCAGAACTGCAGCTGGAACGGTGCAGGGCCAAAGCAAACAGCTGGGCTGCAGCACGGGGGACACTGAGCAGGGCCACAGCCCGGCCACACTTCTGCAAGCCTCCGACCCAGGCGCAGAGGCAGCACGTCCCCCCCCCCCCACAGGATGGTGGACCAGCCAGGTCCACACGGGCAGCTCCAGCTGCACCCTGACTGTGCCTCGGTGTGGGCCGATTTCCGCCTGGCCAGGGTGCCCACGCTGCCCCACCAGTGCCGGCTCGGCGTCAGAACACTGAGCTCCCCAGGGACATAACACAAAAGGGTAAAAGAGCACTGGCACTCCAAGACTTGGCAGTCGAGCCACGGAGCGTCAGGAAGAGTGTCACCTACAAAGCCAACCTGGTGGCACTGCAGTGTGGGCGTGCTGTGACCAGGACGGCTGCGGGGGGCACGGCCCCGCGGGCACGAAGGCCTGCCACGTCCAGCCTCGCAGAGCTCAGGGCTCTTTGCCACGCTTCCTCCACGCGAGCTCATGAATCAACTGCCCCACCGGCACAAAGCACAGGCTCGCCTGTTGAATGTGCACCCGACACCCTCCAGCTGGCTTCCAGAGGGGTGCACAGTCCTCACACTCAGACCCTACTAGCTTCCTGCCCCTATCCTGCCGGCAGATCTCCCTTCAGGTCTCCAGAGAAATCACAGCTCCATCTCAAAGCTGCTGAGCCCTGACTGCATGCCTCACTGCCCAGATTATAAGAGTTTTAGTAAAGGACGATCATGGGGTTCCCCAGAGTGTAGCCACGCCATGCACCCCTCGTGATTCTCACCATGAAAGTTCCCGTTTCATGGTTTCATGGCAGAGGCAGGGAAAATAGGAAAGAGATCCTCTAGCCAGCACTTCCCTTCCACCCCCTGCAGTAACGAGCAAACGGTTACGGAATTAATGACTAATAACTTAATAAACCTCCCTTCCCTGATAGCGTTTGCAGACCAACACCAACAGAAACGTATGCCACAGATTCTCTGTGATACCAAACACAAAAACCCCAGAGACTGTTCCTTTTACGTGCTGATTCCTCACCAGCCTCTGACTCGTGTTTACCAGCAGCTCTAACATGGCTCCAGAACGGACTTAGTCAATCCTGACCGGCTTCAGAATTCTCCCCGTGATGGAGCTGAAACTTTAAAACCTCTATTAGAAGCCGTATTGGAAGACAGTGTGCCACCTAAAATCCAGCTGACAGCAAAAGGGGCCACCGGGCAAGTGTCCCAGGGGCTGTCCAGAGCCTGGGCGAGCTTACAGGGAGGGCTTTGCAGGCCACCGGCTGACAAAGCACGGCCATAACTGTTCAGTACAATTAGAAACTTGCTCCGCCAGTGCCTCACAATCCCACTGAGCCCCGAGAACCAGCACCTACCACGGAAACACCCAGCACCTCAACCTCCCAGCCCCCCAGTTAACCTTCACACAGGGTTTTGAAATCAAGCACAGCCTCGTAAGAAGCCTGCTGTGGACGCCCAGGGCAGGAGTCTCCCTCTTGAGAACATGCCCACGTGGGACTGCAGAGGGCCTTGAGTCCCCTGGAGGCTGGGTCTGTTGTCCCCCGGGTGGGGGTGTAAACTGACACAATGGACGCTGGAGAGAAACCCAAAGGCCTGTTCACGTGGACAAGGCACAGAATGACCAGGGAGGGGGCCTCGGAGGGGTCCCCCGGCGGGGCTCTGTGGCCCTCAGATGTGACAGTGACAGTGTGCAGAGGAGGACGCGAACCCCTCTTCACACACATCAGGGCAGAGGCAGGCGCGCCAGCCTCCTACACAATTAGTCTTCTCCTCCGCGGTTACATAAGATGATGGATTATCTGTCCACCCATCCAACCTGCCCGCGCGCGACCTCCCACCTAGGGCCCCGTCCATGACTGCCCGGGAAGGAGTTGTGCAAAGGGAAAGCCTGTTGACAAGAAAGTGCCCAAGGGCTTGCGTAACCGCGGCTGGAGAGGCCACGACGGGGCCCCCACGCCACCCCGGGCGCGGGAGGACGGGCGGCGCGGCCCCCGGACCCCCTGGACCCCCGGCGGCCCCCGCCCGGCTCCACTCCGGTCCGAGGGCCCCGTCCCCCGGACGCCCGGGCGGACGCGCGGGGGCAGCGCGGGGCTATCCGAGCGTGGGCGCCCGCGCCCACCTGTGACCGACTGGCTGCACGGGGTCCCCGCGGCCGCTCCAAGAAGACCCCCGAGGGCCCCGGGGCCGCCCGGGTCGGGCCCGAGCGCGCCAGCGGCGCGGGGCTCACCTTGTAGACATTTTCCGTGAGCCGATGCATCTCCTCCGTGCGCGACAGCGACATGATGCTGGTCCGGCGGCACCGCGGAGCGGTTCGGGGGCGCGGGCAGCGGCGGGCAGCGACGGGCGGCGGCGGACAGCGGGCGGCGCGGCGGCGCGGCGGCGCGGCGGGCGCGGCAGGAACCGGTGGGCAGCGCGCGGAGCGGCAGCGCGCGGAGCCGGATCAGAAACGCGGCACCTACTCGGCGACCGCCTTTATAACCGCCCAGGCCCCGCCCCCCCCACAGGCCCCGCCCCCCGCGCCCGGATCACCGCCCCCGGCCGCCTACCCGCCCCCGCCTGGCCGCGCCGCTGCCAGGCAACCGGCAGGCCCCGCCCCCGCACCGCCCTTCCCATTGGTGGGTTCCGGAGACGGGGGAGGGGGCGGGGCCCGCGGGCCGATTGCGGACAGCGATTGGTGGGCAGCGCTGTCGATCGCAGGGGAGGAGGCGGAGGCGCGGCGCGGGCCGCAGCCCTGGGAACAGCCTGGGGGCCGGGCGACAGCCGGGCTGGGGGCGGGGCGGCGTGGGCCGGAGGCGCTGGAGGAGGGGAGCGGAAGGTGGGGGCGCGGGGGCGCCGCGGCGGGCGCGCTTGGGGGCGGCTCCTCGCAGAGTCGCGAGTCGGGGCGGCTCTTGGGCGCAGCTCCCTGCAGGTGGCGGGGGTCGCGGGCTCGCGCCGGGCGGGGGAAGGTACCTGGGCGGCCGGAGGCCGGCCGTGCGGGCGCAAGGACGGATGGAGAGAGGCCGGCACGCTGCCTCAGGGTCCGGTGCGGACCCGGAGTTTCGGGAGGTGAGTGTGCGGGCCGGCGGAGTCTCTAGCTGGGAGGAGGATGGGCGGGAGGCCCTTGGGGGGTGGACCCTGGGGAGGATCCTGAGAAGGGACGATCCTGGGGGTGGGTCCTAAGAGGGGTGGACCCTGGGGAGGACCCTGGGAGGGTGGGCTGTGGGGGGGATGGACCCGGGGTGGGGTTGCGTCCCGGGGGAAGATCCTGGGAGGGGAGGATCCCGGGCGGGGTGACCACGGGGGTGGGGTGGGCCCCGAGGAGAATCCTGGAGAGGGGAGCGTCCTCTGGGACGGAGAGAATTTGCAGGAAGATCGTAGAGGGGGCCGATGGGGGGTGGGGAGAGAACCCTATGGGGGGGGCCTTCGGGGCCCCCCAGGGGAGGAGAGGGCCCTGCGATGGCAGAAGACCCTTGTTGGGTGCAGTTTCTTTGTGGAGGGAGAACTTCCCTTGAGGGATCAAGGGGTCAGACAGAGCTGCTGGTTTTGGAGGCCATTCCTGGGAGGTTTTGCTGGGGAAGCTGACCAAGCTGACACACAGGGCTCCCACTCCCACTGCTTTGGGAAAATATTTACATAAATTAGAGTTACATAGAGGAATTATTTGCTTTACGTCGTAAAACAGCAGATCTGAGTGTTTCCCTCTAATGGAGCCTGACACTCTCCACTAGTATCCCATCCAGGACTCTCGGTCACAGGTCTCCTCAAGCCCAGGTGCCCAGGGGGACACAGACCTGCAAGACGGCTGTGGACAGAGCGGGACTCGGGCAAGTCCTGAAGTCACAGTGCCCGGGACCCAAATGGAGTGTGCTCCGCTTCGTAGGAGCGCCTTTGAGAAAGGGAGGCGACGTTCAGGAAGAGCCTGCCTGCTCCATCTGCCAGCCTTCGATCACAGGCAGATCCTTTTTGGTTGAATTTCCTTCCTAATCCCAGCTATGGCTTCCTCTTTTTTCTTTATCGCTTGTGGTGTTTTCAGGTGTATTCCCGTGTATGTGGGTTCCGGGATTCTCTTGGTCGGAAGTGACAGAAAGCCGGTTCAGATTAGCTCTAACCACTGGGACGTTTATCTGCTTGCACAGCTGAAGTCGGGACTGCCTTCCTTCCCTTCTTTCCCTTTTCTCCAGGCCAGCTCGGTGCTGTGCACACTTCCGTCCAGCCAGCTCTAGGACTACCATCCGTTGACCTGACCTGGGTCAAGGGCGGAGGTGGAGTGCAGCGGGGTGGGTGGAGGGTAGAGCTCTGCCTGCCCGAAGGGAAGTGACGTGGTTGGGACCAGAAGAATGACAGGTGGAGGCTGCCAGGAAAACGGGGTGGGGGGGGTCTCATCACTGTGGGAGGGGAATCAGCTTGGAGGGTTCTGAGCTGTCTGCTCCCATCAGCCTCAAGACAGTAGAGGGAGGAGAGGGTCCTCCGCAGAGAAGCCTCCGTAGTCCTAGGCACCACCCCACCCTCGAGAAGCTCCTGCTCTTGACTGTCCTCCTGCCCGAGGGCATGCTCACTTTTGGTAGTGGCTGAGGTAGGGGACCCACTCGGAGCCTGGCCTGCCTCCTGTTGTGCTGATGGCCCTGCAGCCCGTCCTGGGGAGGGAAGCCATCAGGCAGCACCTGCCACCAGTGAAAGTGAAGGAGCATTGCACTGAGCATCACCGAGAACCCAGCAGGACCCATGGCAGGCGCAGAGTGAGACGTGGGCGAGGCCGTACTAGCGAGGCTTGGAGACCTGTACCCTGCCTGGTGGCCTCTCTGCATACCAGGCTCCAGAAAGGTCTTCGGCACGGGCGCGCCCACTCCTTCAGCTGTGAAGGAGTCTTCGGCGGGGGTCTGACCCCCCACCTGGGAGACACCAGTGTTCTCTGAGGGTTTTCTTCCTTGTGTGGAAGCCCCTTCCAGTGGTGATGGTGTCTGGGGCGGGGCTAGGGCCAAGGGTAAGGGCCTAGGGCCCGAGCAGTGGACAGGGCTAGATGGTGGGCTGGGTGCTGAGAGGTTAGCCCCTGTGCCAGCTCCCAGAGTTAAGGGGGCACTTTTGTCTTGGCACCTTTTTATTTTGGAGGTGTTCTGAGCCCTTTATAAAATCCACTTGTTCTTTCTCCCCTTAACTCAGAGTGTGTGGGGGGCTGTGGGATCGAATGCCTTGCCTGGAGGTTGGCAGTCAGTGCAGCTGGGAAATCATTGCCTAGACTTGGGGTCTGGCCCGCCCCCTCCAAGACTGGCAAGAGGAAGGTGCTGTCATGATGGAGAAGTCGGAGAGGATTAGCAAGAGGGCCGGCGCCAGCCAAGATGGGCAGCTCCCAGCATGCCGCAGACTGGGGAGGTGTTCTTCCGGCCCTCGGGGCAGAGCTGGGGGGCAGCTCAGGGGTCCCTGAGAAGGCAGGTGCTCTGGCACCCTGTAGCCACCGGCTCCCCTGTCACGCCTGATTGTCGGTCCTCACCTCTGTGGTCTGTGTGAGCGGGGAGATGGGTAGCTGTGTGGATCTTCAGCACCCAGCTCTGAACTAGAGGGGCCCCCGGCCCGGGCGCCAGCCCCGGGCCCTGATGCATGTAGACTGCTGGGCCACGGTCGGAGGTGAGAACCCGACCGTGTGGGGCTGCTGACGCCGGCCCCCAGCTCAGCAGACCCCAGCCTGGGCGGCCCAGGAGTAAAGGGCTGGAAGCAGAGAGAATAAAAGTGCGTCTCTTCATCAGCTTATTTTTAGGCGTGTTATATAAGTGGCTTCATCTCAGCGCCACGTAGGGAGGGGGGTCTCAGATTTAATTACAGGATGACAGCCTTGCTTTTCAAGCAAGCTGTTCTCCTGGCAGGCAGGCACAAGGGTTTGTGAATTTTTGCTAAACAGAAGGAGTCCTTTCTGAGGTGGCCACCCAGCAAAACTTTGAAGGGCTTTCACCTCCGTGTCTCTCTCTGCCTAACCTGCTTTCTGCCGAGCTTGGCCTAAGGGGCGGCCATTCGGCTCAGATCACAGGGACATGTGTGCTTGCTTGGCAAGGGGGCTGTTTCTCCCTCCGCCTTCCTCCTTCCTCCCGGCTCTCAGAGGAGCCAGCCAATCCAGACTCCTCCTCCTTTTCTCCTTGTGGATTAAAGCACTTGTAATTGGTAACCAGAAAGTTCCAGGGCCAGAGGGACGGGCCTACCTAGCAGGACCTCACCTTTTCCCATTTGCCCCGGCCTACACTGCGGACCCCGTCCACACCAGGTGCCCCGGGTGACGGGCCTGGGCCAGGATTATGGCACAACCGTCTGATTGTGTCCAGAGGACTGTTTTCTGGGTCCTGGCCAGGCCCACGTTCTCCGTGACCGTCCGCAGTAGCAGCAAGAAAGCTTGGAGCCGCCTTGAGCTGGAAGCCCACAGGCCTGGGGGAGTCCTGCTTCCTGCCAGCAGGAAGGTCACCTCGACGGCCTCCAGCACACCCCGGCTTTGTCTGGCACAAGAGGACAGCCGCGTTTCCTGCCCCTGCGTTAGGCCTGGTATCTACCGGCTGGGTGTGCTGGTGAGGGAGCGGACGCAGAGTGGAGGAAGAGCCGGTTACCAGGAGCCAGTCACCAGCACAGCCCAGCGGGCCTTGGGTGCTCCCCTGGCCTCTGTGAGCCCCAGGCGGGGGGAGGTGGGCAGAGCCTCAGGAGACTCGCGGTGCAAACGGCAGGTGAAGCACCGAGAACTGTGCCTGGCACCTGACAAGCCCTCAAATGTTGTAGAGATTATTGTCAATAGCCCTTAGACGGACATTTCTAGAAAACACCCAGATGCCCCGTAGAAAGGCACATTTTTCGAAAAGCTGCCCTTTAAAAAGTGGGGATTCCTCCAGGAGACTCCTCAGCCCTTACGTGCGGGCTGTGCGTGGCCACCACCTTCCCAAGAGCGTGGGAGACGCTGACAAGCGCTCCTCAGCCAGGGAGCCAGCCTGCATCCCCGTGACCCCATGTGGCCTTGAAGTGATGAGAAGGCCCTTCAGCTCTGTGGTCTTCCTCCAAGAACCCAGCACCCCAGTGTAAGCTCCATAGGAACGTCACACACGTCCCCATGGAGGGACAGCCCAGCACCTCATCCGGCACCCCCCAGAACTGCCGGGCCCCCCGAAACCAGGGACGGGAGAGACGGCTCAGCCCAGAGGCGCCTGGGGAGACGTGACGCTGGGGGCAAAGAGAGGGTGTGACAGGAAAACCAAGGAAACCTGAACAGAGTGTGGACTTCTGTTAACAACAGCGAGCCAGACTGGTTCCTGATTTGTGACGCGGGCCCTGCACCGGCGGGAGGTGCTGACGACAGGAAGAGTGGGGTGGTGTATCTTTGCAATAATGGTGTAAACTGAAAACTGCCCTGAAA